CTTTTTCATGTACTACTACCCACGATGCTTACATTCTCCAGATGCATGTTTTCCAAATAATTGTTATGAGCTCTTAAGTTTTCTGTGCAACAACATTAAATGTGAGAGAATTCTTGTTTATTTTACTTGCACCCTGCTCTGCATACTTATCAGCCAAATTGTTACGCTCTATTCCAATATGGGCAGAAAACCCACATATTTCAATATTTTTGATCTCTTTATTATTTGAGACAGTTTGAAAATCACCTCTAGTCTACAATTAGAAACTTATTTTTTTTAACTTTTACATCCCTACTTCAATCTGAAGCAACTATGCTGCTCAAACAAATAAAGGAACACTCAAATAACAGATCCTAGATCTAAATGAATAAAATTTCCTCATTTAATAGTTTGTTCTGTACAAAATTGAATGTGCTGACAACAAAATTACATAAGAATCATCAATTAAATCAAATTTAATAACCAAGGGTCCCTGGATTTGGAGTCACACATAAAATTAAAGTAGAAAAACACACTACAGGCTGATCCAGCTTTGATTTAATGTCCTTAAAATGGGTCAAAATGAGCATCAGTATTATTTGTGGCCTCCAAGTGCCTGTATTGCGTACCTACAATGTCTAGGCATGCTCCTGATGAGGTGGCGCATGGTCTCCTGACGGGTCTCCTCCTAGACCTGGACTAAAGCATCAGCCAACTCCTGGACAGTCTGGGGTGTGTCGTGACATTGGTGGATGGATCGAGACATGATTTCCGAGATGTGCTAATTCAGATTGAGGTCTGGGGAATGGGTGTTCCAGTTGATAACTTCAATGCCTTCCTCTTGCAGGAACTGTTGACACACTCAAGCCACATAAGATCTAGCATTGTCCTGTATTATGGGGAAAACCAGGGTTAACCGAACCAGCATATGGTCACACAAGGGTTTAAGGATCACATCTATCTAATTGCAGTCATGCTACCTCTGGCGAGCACATGAAGGGCTGTGCTGCCCTCCAAAGAAATGCCACCCTACACCATTAATGACCCACTGAGCCAATGAGAGGTCCCAATGAGACTCTGCGTACACTGTCACATGCAGACTTGTGGCCTTCTAGGGGTTATTTTTCTGGGACTCTGGCAGTGCTCCTCCTGTTCCTCCTTCCACAAAGGCAGAGGTACCAGTCCTGCTGCTGAGTTGTTGCCCTCCTATATAATCTGGTTGAACTGTCTCTGTAAAGTGCCTTGAGATGATATGTGTTGAATGAATTGAATTGAAATGGCAATGTGTTGGCATTGTGTTGCTTAGGCATGTCATTTTTTTATTATAAATTGATCATTTCATCAAGAAAATACACAATGTAAAACATCAGTTCTTATGCCTAAACCTTTGCGCATTACTTTCACATTACCTGCTCCTTATCATATTGGAATTAAATGGTTAACTGTCCCATCCCTTCCGTGGGATGTTTATGGTGCCTCCAAAGTTGCAGGCCCATACTGCCACAATAAGGCTACTGTCCACTATTACGATGATATAATATTGCAGCTTATAACCTGTCAAGGTTGAAGAACAGCAGCTGATTTAAGTTATGCTTTTCAGGCTTTTAAAAATTATTTTCGGTTTTTCAGCTGTGTCCAGTTAACAGATTAAATCTTCACCTATTTTATCAAAGGGACTACATTTCACTTGCAAAGTCACAAAGCATTGGAAAACATCTTGCAGTTTTGTATTTGGGCACACCTGAAATCCATTCAGGTTGCTGTTCATTGTTTAAATAATTTCTTCCCATAAAGTAAAGTAACCATGATGCTATAAATAAATACATTTTAAATGTTGAACAAGGTGTTCTACTTCACACAAAGAAATACATACCACTCATAAAGTACATGATTGGGTGGAGTCCTTTCCACAGTCTATTGTTAATGTTCCTTTATTTGTTTTGATTAAAACAACCACAAACTTCATTACTTTTCATTAGGACTCTGTTTTTATTAGAAAAAATAACAGTTCCTTTTAAAGAGAAGAAAAAAATATATAATTTTGAGCTTTTACTCTAAAAGCAGGAATAAACCAGGAGCAACCTAATGCTATTAGAGGTCACCTAAACAGTAGAGTCCACATTTGCAAAGGGCAGCTATGATAAACCGGCTGGACAAGGAGAAGACTATTTAGAAAACCAGTCCGTACAGTTCCTTGGTAACTCTGAAGGAGCTGCAGAGATTGACTGTGGTGTTTGGGAAATATGTAACCTGGACTGCTATTTCCCATGCAAACCCCCTCAAAATTCCTAAAACCATGGGAAAAATGTCATGCTGGGTATGAAACGCATGCAAGATATTTCTAGGTTACATGATATCAAAGGTGTATTTGAACTACATGCAAACTGCATTTGGGACAGGAACTTTACAATTACCTTAGTAAAACATGGTTGTAGTAGTGGAAGCATTTGGTGGGCATGCTCTCTTTAGCAAGCACATGGAAGGTGGTAATAGTCGATGGAAAGATGGCGTAACACAGGATGAAGAATTATTCTGGTAGAAAACACCTGCATCTAGAGCATAAGTTTAATTAACAGCATTAGAACGACACTACATAGCAATCAAGTTTGGTTGTTTGGATCAATAGTCCTGTCCATAGAGAATGAAATAGAGCTAGAGACTGGATTGAATCAAAGTGTACACCTGTTTAAGGCAGAGGCAGATATGGGCCAGGCATTAATACCTAGCAGAGACTGTGGCCATCTCTATAAGTAAGAGGGTCTTTGCCAGATATAAATGGTCAAAATACCAGTGGAAACATGACCTAATGTCTACAAAGAACAATTTTTGTCATACTATTTTTAATTAAACAAATTCAAGAAAAGTATTAAGCAATCAGTTTTTCCTTGAAAGCTGTTTGGTTAAATAAATCTACAATAACTAGCTTTGTGAATATTTCTATGTATTTTATACTTTAATAGATAAAGAATTAAATACAGTGACACATAATTATGTAAAATATGCTTATACAAAATAAAAAAGATAAAGATTCACAGACTAAAAATAAATAAATTAAGTTAGCCGAATAATTAAGCGATAAAAATGTAACATTACAAAAAAAAACTTATCAGATTAAATGCATCATTGGAAGTTAATGATAAAGGGATTTAAAAAAAAACAGCATCTTATACTGTCAATGCAAGTATGACATCAATGATAAAGGAGGGAAGAGTGAAACAAACACAAAACCGCACTGCTGCTTATTTGCAAAACAAAGAGGTGGAGAAAAGGTGGAACGAACTTTGATTGCAGACTCTGGTGAATTGATTGTTCAAGTAGCCCTGAGCGCTACACCACTCTGCTGATCCCCTTCACCTTAAAAATTTGGATCCATCTGGCTCTTCAATTATCTTATTGTGACATCTAGCAACTGTAAGTTAAAGAAAGATCTTAATACTGAAAACAGTTTCAAGGCATTGCATTTTTATACTGTAGATGTAACCTATGGTTTATTTTTCTCTTCATGAGTTGGGTAAATGTATGTTTGAGTCTATATAGTTCAGTCAAAACAAATAACAGATGTGTTTTTTGCGGTAGCGACAGTGACACAAGAACATCAAGTTAAACCAGCCTCAGCTGTTTACTTCTCTAACAGGACTTTTATTTATAATTTCAGGATTTATGTGAAGTAATGGTGATGCAAAACAGCTGTCGGCAATAGCATAACATTTTTATTAAAATATGCAGCAAAAAGCTGACAAAATAATGTTCTATCTTCCCTCTCAGCAACCCTAGTTCTACTGCGCTGTCCAACATACATCAAAACACTTCATATAAAGAACACATTTCCAGGACAAAATGGGATCAGCCCAGTCAAAAAGGAGATCTTCTTCTAAATTCATTTCAAACGGTAAGTTGATTTCAGTCCTTTGCATGATTTTTTTGTGTAATTAGACCTAATGAAATTGTTGCTTTTGTCAATGGATTGTTATTATTTTTAATTTGTTAAAAAAAATAATTATTTCTTATAAAGAACTGTACAAACAAGTAATATTTATTTTATCTAGTTGTACAGTTGCAACCTTTTGCTGAAGCCAGTACATTAGTTTTCCTAGTGTTCTTATTCTTAATTAAGTTTGATTTTCTATTTGTACATACAAGTTGCTGACAGGAGACAAAAAAAGGTCTTCTGGTGAATGTCTGGTAACTACAAACCAAGGATAAATCAGAAAAAAATAGCTGCAGAGAATGAGAAAAGGAAACCAGTAAACATCTAGCTGGATGCAACAAATCGGAGCAAACAGCAATAACATTAACTTGTGATAAAAAACTTGATTACAAATGGTTAAATTGTACTATTCTGATAAACAGGTAGCAAAAACCTGTTAAGTAACTAGTAAAACTTTGAGCATACTCTTCCTTTTATTTGTTAAACTGTATCTCAGTGAAGATGGGGCGGGTAAATGATCAACTGAATTTGATAAGTCACAGAACAACCAAAGAAGATGGATAAAGTAGTATGTTTGCATGAGCATCTTTGGAGTCAAATACTACTTAGACTAGATTTTATGTCACCATTAATGTATATAACAGATTTGATTTCTAAATGAAACTCTTGGTCTAGAGAGTTTCACTATATAAATAAAGGATTAACCTCTTAACATCTATCTCATTTTGGGTACTCCTCACCTATTTTGTATACCCAAATGGAAAAGCAAATAACTTAGGAACTGTAAGCCCATTATTTGAAAGCTAACATCCTCTAGTTTCCTAATATATAAATTCAAATTTGGTGACGAGAACACAGACCAACCTGTATCAGTTCAGACATGACTCAAAGTTGTTGTTTTTTTATTCTAGGAAATTATAGGTCTTTTTTGAACAGCAGTAATGAAGATATTTTTGAAAAGGGCAGGTTTTATTGTATTATATTTGTTCTGCATCATGTCAACCACAAATGCAGAAAATTTCTGACCTCTAGCTATAACAGTTCCAGAGCTGTGGGGTTTGGAACTTTTGGTGTCATCTTGGAGCTGCACACAATGGTTCCATCTAGTGGTAAAAATTTTACCGGTGGAATTTTATGCATTCTGAATTATTACCCCCACTAAAGGTTTTAAGAGGCTAATGATAAATAATCAACATAATGAAATGGTTTCATTGGTTTTCATCTACTTTCCATTTGTGACTCCTGCTTGCATAGACTCCTCTGTAAGTAGCTCACCAGCTGTCCATGATATAAACTTTGCTATTTTTCTTTCTGATCAGTTTAGACATAGATGAGCTTGTCATTACTTTTTATATTATAAACAAAGGTAAAATAACAGATGCACCGCCATTGTAGTGTGAAATGTGCCATTGGTATGAAGAAAATAAAAACAAAATTCCATAAATATTTTTATCATATACTCAACCAATTGTTTTCGATAACAACTTACAAAATTGTTAATTTCTCTCATGCAGAGTTCATCAGAAGAATTGTGGTGTTGGGAAAAACTGGAGCTGGGAAGAGCAGCCTCGCCAACACTATATTTGGAGAGAAATTATATGAAACTGATTCTTCAGCTAACTCTGGAACAAAGCAGTGTCAAGCAGAGTTGAGAGAAGTCAATGGAAAGAGCATAAAACTCATCGACACCCCTGGATTTTTTGACACAGGCAGGGATGAGAAAGAGATAAAAGATGAAATCTTGAAGTGTCTGATTGAGAGTGCTCCTGGGCCTCATGTTTTTGTGATTGTGCTTACATTGGATACACACACACAGCAGGAGGAAGAGATCATAGAAAAGATGACTGAATATTTCTCAGATGAAGCTTTTAAGTTCACCACAGTGCTTTTTACACATGGGGACCAGCTACCTGACGGCAGAAAGATTGAGGAGTTTGTATGTGAAAGTAAATATTTAGATAATTTTATCAAAAAGTGTGGCAACCGCTGCAACGTCATTGATAATAAATACTGGAAGAACTCTAAAGATGATTACAGGAGCAACAAGTTCCATGTAACAGAACTTTTAAAGACAATAGACAACATTATTTTGGAAAATGCTTATGGGTACTATATCCATGAGAACATGAAGAAACTAGACACAGATTTAAAGCAAGAGCAGGAGCACTTAAAGGAAGAATCTCCAGATCTTTTACCAGATAAGATCCAAGAAAAGGCCAAAGTTGTGGTCCAGGAAAAGTGGTCACGTTATCTCTTGAGAGTCAGCATAGGGTTCCTGTTAAAAACCTTCCTAAGCAACGACAGTCATTTGATTAGAGAAGAACTGTTACATGCTCTTGGAGTTGTGTTGACAAATTTATTTATAACTGCAGCACAAAGAGCAACTTTAGCAAAGTTCCTCTGCTGGACAACAGCTGCAGTAGAAGAAGCAACTGCAGCTTCAGAAGTTGCAGCAGGAAAAGCAGCACTAAAATAAAGAAAGTAAAAACAGCATCCAATGCTATAATTGTCTCTGGGGGGTAAATATCTGTATATACACACATGATCTCATAATTTGTTAGCAAACTGTGTGTTGCCAAAAGGCACTTGGTTCCAGCTAAAATCTTTGTTGCCTGATTTCTATTAACAAGATTTGTTGTGGTATAGAGGCGAGCAGGACATTGCATACCTAAAACATCTTATGATAACACATTTTTTAGTATTTAAGTGTAACAGTTTGAACTGACCCTGGTGTCTGTTAAATACATTGTTTAATAAATGGAAGGCCCTGCCACATAGTACTATGACAAATTCAGTAGAAATTAATGGAAGAATGGATAGCAACAAGTTAAAGACACTCAGAACACATTAACAAGATATCAAATATATTAATGGGGTTTTATAGAGTTTATACTTGGGGTGCTGACCCCTTTTTATTGAACAAATCTTCTTTAACAAAATTAGATTTTCTCCTCTGTTCTCCAAGTAGAACATGTTTTTTCTTCTTATGGCGGAAAGAGCTTACAAGTTCATACCACCATCTAGTATAAATTGGTGTTTAACATTTATAGATTCCACCTACTAAGATGTGTTTATTTTAGTTTGCCATTATGACGATTGATAAATAATGTTTTCCTAATTATACAGATTTACTTGCTCCAGTTTTCAGTATTCCCTCCACACTCCATTCTTATCCTGTCTTTAAATAGATGCACACAGTCTTTTTATTCTGTACATCCCACACCAATCGTTTGCCCTCCTGATGATGTACAATATGTTTACATGGAAGTGACCTACCCTTGATCTCACCATTATTAGTTATTCTCTTCTATTTGTCTCAATAAAACTCTTTGTTATTACTGATCTCTGTCAGAAGGTGTTGCACATATTTTTGATTTAGAAATAGCTTAATACAAACTAGTGTCATGACAGGGAAATTACCCCCATTTTACATTTGTAATGATGCCATGTTGAAGAAGTAAACTGTTGTTATGTAGATATGCTTACTCTCTCTTATATATATA